CGTCATTATCAACGAACACGGATCATTTTTGGCAGGACAGTAAGGAATAATATTCTACATATGTCCACCAAGTTTAATCAAAATCTGATCATTTTTGACTGAGTTATAGAGCAAAAATAGTGTGAAAAATCGGTCCTCGTGTTAACAGATACGGATTATCGTGATCTTAGCCCTCCAAAAAAAAATGATCACTTCTAAGTTGGGTCGTAGTACAAATGTAGACCAACTTTCGTCCAAATCTATTCAGCTATTTTCGAGAAATCTTGCTGACAAACACACACACATATACAGGAGTCAAAACATAACCTCCGCCCACTTTTATTAGTGCAAGTGATAAACATGAGTATAATTGTATGATGTGTTATAAAATAATGTGTAACGAATAAAACCAATCAAGTTATTCACGTTTTGCTAAATAAGATTAAACTCCAATCTGAAAGTATTATAACCTTTAGACTTATCTGTTTATAGTACGAAAATAAATATTGTTTGGCATATTTCAGGATTTGAAATCCTCTCGTGCCGGTAAAGCCGACTACTGTCTTACGTGGTCCTCGAGCTTTGTTACCTCAAGAAAACCTCGTGAACGAAAAAGCAGAAATAAAATAAAATAAAGAGATAATATCTCTTTATGACTTTGGTGCGTTATTTTTTTTTAAGTGCACGTAATAACTTGGATGTTGGTTTATTTCGCTTGTATTCAACTTAGTTTATCAGAACTTACGAGATTGTAGTAAGTTGTTTTACATATTTTCTGTCAGTTGACACGTGCGAGTCGAATTACCTCACTTAACTACTTTTAAAAGTGTTAACTGAAGTGTTATGTATAAAACAAAGAGACTAAGAAAAAATAAACTGGACGTTACACATTTGACTACAGCTTGTTGTACCCTTTATGCTCTTTAAACAACGTTAGGATATTATTACAATACTTGAGGTCAACACATCTGGCAAAAATAAAAAATTAGCAATCAGTAAATTGCTAGTGATAAACGTCTATGTAAGTTATTTTGTAAACGTCCCCAGTGGCACAGCGGTATGTCTGCGGACTTACAACAGTAGAATCTGGGTTTCGATACCCGTGGTGGGCAGAGCACAGATAGTCCATTGTGTAGCTTTGTGCTTAATTTCAAATAAACAAACTTTAATTTCCAGTTTTTCGTACAGCACAAACACGCCTTTATAGAATACAATGTTTCCAGAATACAGTTTTCTATACGTGTCATATGATACTAAATACATAAATATTAAAAGTAGGCTGTTAAAAATGTGTGTTTTATGAAACATGGGTTTTTGTAAACCTACTTATTTGACACATTAAATTACTAAACAGTCTTTAAAAATGGTGCTTTCTAAATACAGAATTTCGTTCATTGTTTGTTTGGTACACACACACTAGTAAACTTGGTGTTGTCTGGTACACACACACACTAGTAAACTCGGTGTTGTCTGGTACATACACCAGTAAACTCGGTGTTGTCTGGTACACACACCAGTAAACTCGGTGTTGCCTGGTGCACACACCAGTAAACTCGGTGTTGTCTTGTACACACACACCAGTAAACTCGGTGTTGTCTTAGTACACACACACCAGTAAACTCGGTGTTGTCTTAGTACACACACCAGTAAACTCGGTGTTGTCTGGTACACACACCAGTAAACTCGGTATTGTCTGGTGCACACACCAGTAAACTCGGTGTTGTCTGGTACACACACCAGTAAACTCGGTGTTGTCTGGTGCACACACCAGTAAACTCGGTGCTGTCTTGTCCTTAAACTTTAGAAACAATTTTTCAGTCAAGTTGTCACGACAAAACTGCTGGCACGATTCCTGGTGTTTTCGGAACAAACACAAAACTGTTCTTCTCTTGGCTTAATTATATTCACAATGAGTTGTTTTTACTGTTGACATCTCTGTTAAATCGATCTAAGAATCTGTTATACAAAATATTAAAATATCCCATTGAAACCTGCTCTCAACTAGAGCAAAGCAAAGAGCTAGTTATTCCGAGAAGCCTAGAAACGAGTGCACTTATTTCGAAAACTGATTTATTTATTAGTATTTCTTTACTTACCATAGAGGGCGTGTTCCAAAAAATAAAATAAAATAGGTGAAGGTAAACAAGTTTTAATGAATATATGATTTTCCTCTTGCACAATTCCCGCAGATAAACCAACACCTTTTAAACATTCATTTGTTACGGCCCTAGGGTTAATCAGTATCACAACAATGTTGTTTGTAGAAATAGTTAATTCACTGTTTGGTATTTACTCTACAGAAGAAAAGGCAGTTTATTTGATGAATAGTTTTCTCTCTAAGCCTAGAAGGATAACAGAGTAAAGAAAACAGGTATCAGGAAATATCTTATTACATACGCTTCAAACAGTGCCTCCAGACCTTCTGTAAGACAAGTCATGAACAAATGGTGATTGTTGCTGTTTCTCTTATCACAAATGGGGTATCTACGATATCGATCCATGAATTCTAGCGTGAAACTTACCGCTGAACCACCGTGAGACAGTTTGTTCTTTACCAACATCTTCTAAAGAAATGAATAATTGAGATATACAAGTTCTTAGATTCTGCACATAAATGCATTTTTATGTTGCTTTTACCAAATTACATCTTTCAACTTTTATCAAAATTAGCTTTATGTGGAAAACATTTTATTTGATTTTTTTTTTCACTCAAAAGAACGGTGATACAACCTTCGATTACTGTTTTATTTCGGTAAGATTATTGATTTATTTATTCTTTAATATTGGTAATCGGCTTCATATTTCTATAAAAATTGAAGCATTGTTTTTTCCTCCCCAAAATCACGTAAAGATGATACACCATTGTCATCGCCCCGTATTGCTTATGTTTAGTAAACAAACAATGTGACTATATATATATATATATTGTAGAATTTATTTCAGATCGGGGGGTATGATCCCCTGAAATGTCGTCTCCCCCAAGTTAATGCCGTCCATTAATCTCAATCTCATTTTAGACTCTTAATAAAAGCTGCTCTAGATGTTGAGAGTAGGATCGGTTAACACTATCAGTTGTAAACATTTAAAGATGGACGGCTTTCAATACCTAATATTTAAGACACGAAATACATTTGGTTCGCCTTACTTCTGAGTTACACCACAATCATATAAATAGAGGTGCGTCTGTACGAGTACAGATGATGTGAAGAATATTGAAACTAATGGGTAGTTCGTTATTAGAAAATCTAGGCCTTCATCTCATGAGATTTCTAGTTTCTCTTTATAAGTATTTCAAGAAATCTAAGCCTAACACTCCTTGGTTCCAATAATAATAATCCAGAAACCCAAGCCTTAACTTTTATAAGTATTTCAAGAAATCTAAGCCTAACACTCCTTGGTTCCAATAATAATAATCCAGAAACCCAAGCCTTAACTTTATAAGTATTTCAAGAAATCTAAGCCTAACACGCCTTGGTTCCAATAATAATAATCCAGAAACCCAAGTTACATGGACATACAACAGACAGTACTATTATATTTATATAGTAGTTACATGGACATACAACAGACGGTACTATTATATTTATATAGAAGTAGTTACATGAACATACAACAGACAGTACTATTATATTTATATAGTAGTTACATGGACATACAACAGACAGTATTATTATATTTATATAGAAGTAGTTACATGGACATACAACAGACAGTATTATTATATTTACATAGAAGTAGTTACATGGATATACAACAGACAGTATTATTATATTTACATAGAAGTAGTTACATGGACATACAACAGACAGTATTATTATATTTATATAGAAGTAGTTCCATGGACATAAAAGGAAAAACCAAAGGTTGCGCCATCTATTGCAGTAAATGTAAAGCTCCAGTATTCTATTAATTGATTAATAATTTCCAGAGTTCACCACAAAACTTTCTGCAACAGAGTATGTTTATGCTTTCCTTGCTTCGTTTTGTATCGATATGAACTTTGTAGTCTTTTAATTCAACCATTAAAACAAAAACTGAAAGGTCTTGTCCAAATTAAAAATATATTTAAAATATCTTGTTTTGTAAATTCTTTTTCAGACATTTAGATCTTTGTAACCAAATTAATTCCAAGATACAAAGCAGAAATTGTTTTATCAAGAAACAAATATGTTTTCGAAAATATGTAAAATACCTTTCAAAAATTAATGTCGTATTTCGGTATACATTAAAAAAAATCAATTCACATGTTACACTTGACAATACTGTATGACTGTTTGTTTGTTTTGAATTTCGCGCAAAGCTACACGAGGGCTATCTGCACTACCCGTCCCTAAATTAGCAGTGTAAGAATACAGGGAAGGCAGCTAGTCATAACCAACCACCCACCGCCAACTCTTGGGCTACTCTTTTACCACGAATAGTGGGATTGACCGTCACTTTATAATGCCCACACGGCTGAAAGGGCGAGCATGTTTGGTGTGACGGGGATTCGAACCCGCGACCCTCAGATTGCGAGTCGAGCGCCCTAACCACCCTACTGTATGATACACAAGAATATACACAGCTATTGTAAATCATATAACAATGCTTTAAGTATGTAATAAATATGTTTAATTATAGTGATAGCGACGAAATTATCAATTTGTCATTTTTGGGAGGACATCACCCGCTACTCACTTAAATAGACAATTATTTAACACGATCCTATTTTGGGGAGGGAATTTCCTCCCTAAACAACTGTAGTCTAATGGTTTACCAACTCGGAAATGTTTTTTGGTTACCATTATTTCACATTTTACAATTGCACAAAAACAAATACACGTATTAAAAAATTCCAACCTCTTAAAATTTTGATAATGGTTGAAGTATACATTTGTACCGAATAGCAGTTATAGGGGGACGAGCTCTTATCAACAAGGTGTAAGGGAAAATCTTAATCAGAAACCACGAGCGGTTGGTTAGAAATGGATCTAGACAAAAGCAAAATACAAAAAATAAAACGATTGCACCACACACAATCCTAATATTCAGTAAAGGTTATTGTACATTTTTTTTTTATTATTCAGAAGATCAGAGTTACAACTGCAAGAGGAATCCTTCAAACTTATTCTCTCTGCATCATTTTTTGTCTTGCCATCTTTTTCTTGGACATTTTCTTTTTGGGAGCCTCCTCTTCTGCTGCTGGTTTAGCAACAATGTCTTCTTTTTCAGAAAGGATCACTTCAATATGGCATGGGCTACTCATGTAAGCTACAACAGAGAGTCAACAGTTGAACTTTTGATGGCGTCTTAAAGCAGATCAAAACTAAACTCCTAATAACACGTGCGTAATTTGATCAACATTTGAAAGTTAAAGTAGCAATAAGGAACATATGTTTTATCACCTACTTCTTAAAGCGCTGTTCTTCATAACATAAAGAAACACAGATAGACTTTCATACTTACGGTTAATTCGACCATGAGCACGATAAGTCCTACGCCTCATTTTTGGGGCTCTGTTGACCTGAATGTGCTCAATAACCAGATGGTCAACATCTAAGCCCTTGTAGTCTGCATTACTCTCAGCATTTCTCAGGAGCTGGAGAAGGAACTCTGCACTTTTCTTGGGCCAGCGGCCAGCATTGTGACCCCACTGCTTGACCTTAACATACAGAATGATGCAAGTCAAACTACAATATAAGCTGTAATCAACTGAACATTTCTGTCTTACAATGCCTACATGTCTTTGCAACAAACTTATATTTAAATTTTTATGATTTATTACATGAACACCCCTCCAACCCAACATCCTACTCAAGTATCTACAAGATAGATAAGACCTAATGAACGTGATGTAAAAAAACTTTTAGGTTTGATCGGTAAATTTACATAAAATCTGTGTTAAATTAACTAAAAACTCATGAATAATAAACTTTGTGCTTGTAAAGAAAATACCAAATCAATACACGGTTTATTAAATAGCACCAGCGTTTAAAACTAACAGAAGTGAAGTGAGTGTCTTACAATACATTTAAAATTAACAGATGTGTAGTGAGTGTATTACAATATATTTAAAACTAACAGATGTGTAGTGAGTGTATTACAATACATTTAAAACTAACAGATGTGTAGTGAGTGTATTACAATACATTTAAAACTAACAGATGTGTAGTGAGTGTATTACAATACATTTAAAACTACAGATGTGTAGTGAGTGTATTACAATACATTTTAAAACTAACAGAAGTGTAGTGAGTGTATTACAATATATTTAAAACTAACAGAAGTGTAGTGAGTGTATTACAATACATTTAAAACTAACAGATGTGTAGTGAGTGTATTACAATACATTTAAAACTAACAGATGTGTAGTGAGTGTATTACAATACATTTAAAACTAACAGATGTGTAGTGAGTGTATTACAATAAATTTAAACCACCATCTTCCATTCATCACTGAATAACTGATTGATTGTTGATGATGTTACAATTTGAAATAAGTGTACTCCTCAAGCCTCAATAAGTTATACTGCTATCTTGGTTCAAACATTTTTTTATTTGATATTTAAAGATCAAAGTTCTTAACATGTTTCCTGTTGTAACACAACTACCTGCTCTATACAATCACAGCTTTTTACATCATCACACTCAGAATTATTATCCTGATCTAGATAGTCTTTTTCAAAGGAATCTGGATCACATTCTTGTAAAACTTGTATTTTCACAAAGAGTAAAATGTTTGTGTCAATCCTGCCATCTTGTAGCTATAATAGTAACCAAAACAAACCACTGCAAAAATCTCGGGTCATGCAACTTCAAATTTTAGTGAGTTTTTTTTTCTGTCATTCACACAATCACAGCACTATGGGACTATTTATCTCACACATAATTATAGCCCCTTTTCTGATTGACATGTCAATGCATCGGTAGCACCCGACTAATAGAAATGACTGACACAGTAACACGTTATTAGCAGCACGTGTTAAGATCACTTTAACATTAACAATCTCTAATTTCAATATCTTCGTGTATATGACTCAGTTTTTTAAGCAAACTTACATCACCAAAAAAAAAAACAAGTGCCATAAATTTAGTTTAAAAGAAAAAAAACAAAATTTTTAGAATACAAAATTTTACATTCTAGATTCTCTAAACCAATAACAATGTGACAGGTCCTAACCTGAGCCTTCCTGGAGGGACCACCAGTAAATTTACGAAAAGGAACGATTTCCTTCTTGGTGATTACATTCTTCAAGTAGCGTTGTGCTCTACGAAGTGACATAGATTTAACAGCTCGTGCTGTCTCGTGCGTGTTCTAGGGGACAGACAGACCAATAAAAATTAGGTTTTATAATACAGACTTTTATCTAAATTAATTTCAAAATAGTGAGATTAAATCTATAAAAACCTTTTTATGGATAACTTCCATTAAAAATTAGGTTTTATATTACAGACTTTCATGTAATTTCATTTCAAAATAGTGAGATTAAATCTGTAAAAACCTTTTTACGGATAACTTTCATTAAAAATTAGGTTTTATAATACAGACTTTCATGTAATTTCATTTCAAAATAGTGAGATTAAATCTATAAAAACCTTTTTACGGATAACTTTCATTAAAAATTAGGTTTTATAATAGAGACTTTCATGTAATTTCATTTCGAAATAGTTGGGTTATATCTATAAAAACCTTTCCATGGGTAACTTTGAAAACAATTAGTTCTAAACTCCTGCTGATAGATGAAATCTAATGTTAACACAGTATAAAACGGTCTTTACATATCTTAAATAAACTGTTAAACTTATTTTCATTATAATGTAATTGTTTGCAATTTTAGTTCAAAGTTAAATGTTTGGCTGAACAGTTTTAAATACCAGGATCTAACTAACTAGGTATTGTCATGTTCAAATAATAAATCTTCCACTGTTATTCTTCACTTACCTTAAAATGGACACGAAGATTAGATCCACGTGCCTTACACGCTAGAACAAAAAAAAATAAATAAATTGAAAAATGAGACAGATTAAAAAAAGAAAGCAATAGTACAGACATCTTCTCGAACATTAGTTCACGTACTGAAAACAAATCGTTGAAAAGTTTAAAACCATTAACATTTTACAGATATATTCATAAGTAAGTTAAAGAACAAGACACAACTGATGTTCAGTAGCCATTATAATAATTGATATGGAATGTCAAGAATTCGTTTTGTTCAGATCTTTCATGTGGCAACCTGAACCTAAAACAAGTAATGTTAACATTTGATTCATTATAAGTTTATATTCATGTAAGTGTCCTGGAGTAATATGAACCTATTTCAGACCTGGATATGTGTTAAAGTGTTAAAGAGCTAACTCCTTACAACAGAATCAGTTGATCACAGTGTCAAACCCATTGTTAACACCCTCGGAGCCAATTCCTTCCTCACAACAGAATCAGTTGATGACAGTGCCAAACCCATTGTTAACACCCTCGGAGCCAATTCCTTCCTCACAACAGAATCAGTTGATGACAGTGCCAAACCCATTGTTAACACCCTCGG